ACTGCAACTAAAGGATCCCATTAGGTATCTTCGTTATGGGGAAGACCACAATTTATTTTCCGATATATTAAAATGTTAAAATCACATGTATTCAGCGTGATCCGTGAAGCACTTCATTCCCATGACTCATAAATGGGACTTTTTTCCCTCGTCCTTCGTAAACGAAGTCATTATGCTAAGTTATTCGTGATTTTCAACTCTCCAAACTAGCATTTTCAATGAAATATGCATAAAGCTTTATCTACAACGATTTGTGATTTGGTTAATTTATTTCCCCTGAACTGTGTTCAGACCTCCCCCCCCCCCTACAAATGGAAACCTCCTAGTACAAAATGTGCAATAAATATAAACTTCTCATTTTTTTACAAGCAAGAAACTGTCCACTTAGCAATATCAACACGGTACATGTACTTACTACAAGAAGAGCAATTGTTCTTTCCAGTTCCACAGACAGCAACTGTCTTGAAGAAGACGGACTCGTGTCGCCTGCCAACCTCTTTCCTGGACCCTGCAGTTTTTAATAATGGCGTCAGGTTACGTAGTCATTTGCCTGATATATACATAACTGACATACACTGATGATAAGGTTATCAGATAGTTATTTAGTTATATGCGTCACACGTGAACATGTTTTATATCACCAAGTAGGGGCCAGGAACTCTGCATAGATATATGTGATCCTGTCCTTCAAACTGGCCGTGGTGATACCATTGTTTGAACTAGAACAGTTACACTACAGTATGGACCTGGGCTACTGTGTTGATACGGTGACGTGTATACAAGATAAGTCTTCGGCTAAACTGGTTAGAAATACTGAAACACGTGCACGTATGAAGTATATAATAGGCATAAAACATAGCGATGGCAATAGCTGCTATCCAGAATATTTTAGCTCCGCGTTTAGCTTTAAAAAAAATCCTCCGCAAATGTCTGTTAGTGAAGGGTATATTGACTGCATTCCCGCAGATTTAGACCCCACTCCCACAGATTTTAGATCGATCTTTCCCTGTGGGGAGTCTCACTAGATTACTGTCAGCTAACCCGGCTTAAGCGTCTGTCCCGCCTACTAAAAGCTGGAAGGGGGTAATTTAAATTGCCGTGCGCGTTCGTCTGACTGCAATTTAGCGTGAACCCCCAGGGAGTTAGGTCGATCCGGATGGATCCGGATGGATCGATCTAAATCTCTAAATCTCTAAGACTGCATTCCCATAGATTTTAGATCGATCTATCCCCGTGTACCCTGAGTGTCAGAGCCACTGTGAAGATAGATTGTTAACTATTGAAACATTTTGACGCGATAGCTTCACAGAAGCTCTGACGAACAGCGTCCATGTTAGATTTTCGTCAATCAAATAGAGCTGCTCCGCAGTGAATCTGCAGTTGAATGTCATCAGACCAAAATGAAACGTAAAACAGATTTAATTCTGCCTTATTTAATTTTATTAACTGTATTTAAGATGTAAAGTGAAAAAATAAATAATATTCTTCGAAAAGAAAAGTTATATCCAATGTTTTTGTATTTTTTGCTTATCAAAAAACATTTGCCCCTGGAGGTATGAACACAGTACACGTTCTTGCCGTGTACCAAGTTTGACAGCTACACTGTATGCCCGATACCAGTATAAGGGCTGCGCAATGGCTACACCAAAACCAATATTTAAAGCAGAATGTTGCTTGTATTGTGGCACTGACCTTCGACTGCAAGATATTTTCAATTCATACTTCTAGCCATTTTGCTTCTTGTCTCGTCTGCACGAGATAACGTCAGCGCAAGGCGGGAAAGGCAGCTCCAGGCGGCCAAACCTGTGACGTACGAGACTTATGACTTCCAAATATGGATCCAGGCGGACAGAGCTGTGACGTGTAACTTCCAAATGTGGAAGCGCCCCAGGCAAAATTTTGAAGAAGAACGCCTACGGATTGCCGCTGTTCGCTAGAGCCTGGTATTGCTGATATGGGTTATATATGAAATCAAGATCGAGCTGGCAATACTGGAATCTAGAACCTAGGGTATCCCCGTGGGGAGTCTCACTAGATAACTGTCAGAGTTAGGTCGATCTAGATGGATCGATCTAAGACCCCATTCCCAGAGATTAGATCGGTCCAACTAGATCGACCTAACTCCCTGGAGGTTCAGGCTAAATAGCTGTCAGCCGAGCGGGCACAAAAGTTAATTACCCCCTTACAGCTTGTAGTAGGCAGGATAGTAATCTAGTGAGACTCTCCACGAGGATAGATCGATCTAAAAGCTATGGGAATGCACCCTAAATCTATGGGAATGCACTCTAAGATCGATCCATATGGATCGAGCTAACTCACTAGGGGTTCACGCTAAATTGCTGTCAGCCGAGCGTGCACTGAAATTAATTACCCCCTTACAGCTTTTAGTAGGCGGGACAGACATTTAAGCCGGCTAAACTGACAGTAATATAGTGAGACTCGCCACGGGGATAGATCGATCTACTACACGCAAGCGAATTTTGCGTGTAGTAGAATCCGTAGAGGTCGTAGAGGTAAAGGAAAGTCTGCCTTGCCAGTTGCAAGGGCTGCATGAGATGTCCTTTTAAACAGGGACGCTATATTGCAAGGTGCAATGGCCATGGAAATTGTACTCATTTCTTGTACAATTGTACTCATTTCTTGTCTTGCTACCTGCGTACGTGACAGGCGCTCACCACTATTTTTGAAGAAAAAGCAACGCACGGCGAAAGTAGTTCCCTTTTGCTTCACTCTTTCCTCACATGCTTGTGATGACGTATTAACAGCGTGCAACAGTTTTGCCTACTGTTCTTCCCTTCTTTCTTCTTCTTTCTCCCCTCTTTACTGCTCTCTAATGATTTATTTCTTGCCTTTTTAGGGCATGTTTGAAACTGAATTAAGCAAAATTCGAGATTTTTGGAAATTGTTGCACAGGTTGCACAATCGTAGTACTGTCGAGACACGAGCGTGCGGCATGAGTACACCTTTTATACTCCTGGCGTAGGGGTGACGCTCCTGCGACGCACTTCCGCGGTGCTTTCGACTTTGATCGTTATTTGTGAGGGCGTGCCCTGTAATCCACACGCAAAGGGCGCTTGCTCCTTCATTGCTTGCGACGTGCGTCTTGGACCACGCATGTCCCACTTGCGAACTCCTTGCGAGTGAAGCAAGTAAAGCCTAGGTCCCAACTACGTTTTGGACGCACGGGTTTTTGGTTCCTTGCGTCCAGCAAGGACGTAGCTAGATCGCACGTAGCGGCTGTTGATCATGTCGAAAAGTTACTAGGTGCTGTTTGCGTCCTCCAAAAGTCGCACGATGGACGTGCTCCTCACGCACGAACTCCCACGTTTTCCCCATTTTTTTGGCCGTAGACCACACGTAGCAGCCCGTACGTTCGGTGGGGATCTACAGTAGGCTTTACGTTTGCGGCTTCGCTGTTCGCAGATTATTCGTACAATCTTTTGGCCTTGTACAACATCCTCCGTACGTGCATACGGGCTGTTTGCGAACACTAAAATTCGCAAGAGGGACTTGCGTTGCATGTGAGATTCTGCTCAAAATTTGAACGCAAACAGGCCGTAAGAGCCCGTACGGCCAGTTGTGACCGAGGCTTAAGGTCGAATGATCTATTTAGGATTTTGTAACACATAATGATAGCACCACTTTTTGACTGACTGGCCCCGCTACTATACACGTGTACACTGATCTCCCGCCTACCCGTCTACATCTGCTACCATGCTAGTGTTGTGTTCACTCTGTAACTCACTCCTTTCTCTCTCTCTTTTAAAGTGCACACACATTAATAGCATGACAAATAAAACTTATTTGTTATTGTATCAATGCGTGTGTACGATATATAGACCCTACACTCAGCTCTACATACACTGTCGCATATTAGTATAGTAAAATGCATCTCATATTTCAATTTATTTTCATCTGTAAATAAGTAATCTATCTCTATAGAAAATGACAGTTATCGGATATTGTGCTTGCATCGGTTACAAAACCATTTGTAAAGTGGTCGTTCATTGGTCAGCCATGGGTTTACGGCTCTGTGGTCGGTTTGATGAAGGGTCAACCCGGAAAGGTCTAATTCAATATCCCCTAGGGCTATGAATGAACATGTTTTTATTTCAGTGACGTCATTCTACCTAAACCAATTTAGGTTTCATTTTATTTCTAGAAGAAGACCAAACTGTATCCAGTACAGTCATGGACCATTAATGGGGGAGATGACCCTCGTTTTGATAGATGATGTTGCCTATCGGGAGAGCTACGAGTAGTTTTGGCATTTCCTGCCCGCAGAACACATATCTGCTCCAGCATCTTTACGTGTTAAATGTGTTTGAGGTCTTTGCCGAGAGAGAACTCAAATGACTTAAAACTGTTTAATACTCCGTGTCGGTTTGGTCTGCTTTATCGATCGTGTGTCGTCTATGTTTGTTCTGCACTGCACGTTTATCAAAACAAATAGATACCCGTTTGAAAAACCAAACAACTTGACATGAGAACTGACATTTAGTTGTCAACAAGGAAGAAGTCCCAGTATATGTGCATTAATTCGTTGCCTATTACCCATAACACTTTCGATTACGCCCGTGATTTCAAATTGGAAACTTAGACCTACTGAAAAAATTGACAGTTTGTTTATCTATATTTAGGAAAGCGCCGTGCATCACATGTTAATCTGGTTAACCACAAACAACAAAAACTACATTCGTAAATTTGAATTATTCATTTTAACATGGATTGTTCCTTCCTATATACATTTCACGTTTTCAAAAAAATACTTGAACAGTGCACCATTAATAGAGCCACGAATCGTCTTCACTTTGGCATAACCTGGGTTCCCATGCCTAGATCGATCTAAGAGGATCGATACATCTTCATGGGGTTTCTCGTTAAATTGCTTTCGGCTTAAGTAGCTTAGATGTCTGGCACAGCTACTGAAGCTGCTAAACGATAACTAATCACCCCTAGCAGCTTCAGGAGGCGTGGCAGACATCTAAGCCGTTTAAGTTGATTGCAATTTAGCGAGAATTCCATTGGAGATAGATCGATCCAAAGTTAGTCCGATAGGGGCTGGGAATAGACCGCTTTCACACGATCATCAAACAAAATTGTAGGACATCTCAAACTGTTTGCTCTATGGAGGTTATCAGGTAACTAACGCCGCGCGCTCGGCACACATTAGGAAAGAACTCGGCGCAGAAGCTCTTTAATACCACAGCAGTCGAGGAAGATGGGTCTCCTTCACCTACTTGTGTTCCTGGTCATGGTGGCGACATGCCGGGGTGTGACCACAGAGAAAATACCCACCAGTAAGTGGCAAGAACAACCCTCCACTTATTTATTTATTTGTTAAATATACAATTATTTATTTTAAACGTCCCGAAGCTGAAAATGCAAGAAACAGCATTTAAATCAATCTGGCTAAGTTTCGTGATTTTAATTGGTCATACTTTGAATGATGGCAGCGGCACTATGCTACTGCTCGGAATATAACACCATAAAATGCAGGTATTTAGAAGCACATGTTCAATACTTACCCAGATTATTGAATTGTTTGACATTATTTAATGATAGCAAATTAAACAGTTTAAATATATTTGTTTTCCTCTTTTAATTATTGATTTAACATATTTCTTCCTCGGTGTGATATAAAAAGGAGATTTGGGAGGTCGTTCAATTTACATGTCAGATATATATTACTGAAAAATGTATCAAAAGGCGTTTCCCATATCTTGCGTTTGTTGTTTGGTGGTCCCCGCTAAAATTATTGCTCCTAACCAGAATATTTTTCTTTTACCTGTTTATTTTTTTACAGCATTCCAACTGCTTCTATCATAAAATGGATATCCATCAGCCACATTTTAATATGAATATCTGCGTTATTGCCTTTCTTTTGCTAGAAAAAAAGAATATTCTGGCACTTTCACCGCATTTAAGGAGACTGCCGTTCAACAACTTCTGAAAGTGGGATTTGTATAATAATAATAATAAGGCAACCAAAAGGTTAAATTTGTACATAAATTGAAATGGAATAAAATTTACAAATTAAAATATTTACATAAAATAACGCATATACAATAAGGCCAAAATGATGTAGAAAATAAATAAAGTTGGCTCTAATCACGAATCATTACTTACGATTAATTTTTTTCATGAAGCAGGCGCAATGTTTCATGCGTGTTACTCCTACTTCCAACTAACTTGCGTTTTTCATCAGTGGTAACAATCAGCGTAAAATTAAGAAAAAAATGCAGTCTTAACAAGATTTGTCAAACCGGTCCCCCTACAAATACACAGAACGATAATGTACTCAGGTTCAGTTTTATTGGAAAGTAAGGTCCGATAATCACTTTATTATGCCGTGAATACCATCCGTTAAGTCAAATGCAATTGCTACTTTTTAATTAAGTAGGGAAGTTATTTACTGTAACAGCCAGCACAGAAGAGGCTTGCAACAATTAATGATTCCATCTTGTTAAAATTTGAAAATATATTTTGCTTGTTTTGGAATTTAGCAGTCCAAGTTGAGTCTGAAGACTACATGTAGCTACAGACTTCTGCATCACAGAATATTTTTGTTCTAGCTTTCTGCGAGACTCAACAGCCCTGCAGGAGTGGAGGGACATGCAGAAACAGTGAATTCTACCCATACTACTACTGTATTTGTCCGAGATACTACACGGGGCAGAAGTGCGAATATTATTACAGTACGTAAAGTAGTTTTGAACCAAAGTTTTTCGTTCCAATGACAGACTAACTGACAGACAGACAGACAAACAGATAGCAATTGCAGCGTTTCGTTACGTCGACATACTCCGCAGACGATGTGAAGTCAACAGTCAATGCGCTGTTCTCTTTGTTACTCTGTGTTAATAGAAACTTCGCCAGCCAAAGAAAACGCGTCACTTTAGTAATAAGTCCCTAGGGCTTTGTGAGAATGGTCGAATGCTGCACTGGTGACCGTCATTTTCACAGTCGGCTTAGACATCAAACAACGCAAAATATTTCATTTTTGCCACTTTCTTGCTTCTACAATCGCAGACAGGGTATCCTGGTAGCGTTAATGACATTTAAACATGTAAATGTAAAACCAAAATGCTTTTTTTAAGGGTCTGACTAGCCTTGTCCACTCAACTAGCTTCCACCAAATCACATACATTTTCCCTTTTTTAAAGAACAATTTCAATGTGATATGTACTACAAGTAAGATCTCAGTTCAGGTCATACAGTGTACGGCTAACCCGTGTGGCTCTGTGAGTCCTGTATGTACGCCTAAGTAGGGTAATAAAAACTGTGTTATCACACGCAGACATTGCAGTTCTGATAGGAGACATGTCGCTGATAATGTATCACGTCTGTTAGTGACAGGTTTGGGATGGGCGATGACCTTGGAATGTCACCTATGGCGCAATTGGAATTTTTATAAGGTGCAAAAGGTGTTTTCTCCTCCACTTTACTTATACCAGTCTGTAGTGAAACTGATTCAACAAAAGAGTAAAAACGAAAACTAAACGGATATGGTAACAACTAGCCTTGGAGAGACCCTCTGACGGTGGCCTCTGTACTTTGTAACTAAATTGAATATACCGGTAAGTCTTCTATTCAATTTGATACAAACTCCAGAGACCTCTAGCGGACGGTACTACGAGGGTGGTGACATCACGTGATATATGTTATGTGAGGTTTGTATCTCAGTTATAACTTGTCTTCATACCTCAATTCTCGTAGCTCAAAACTTTAAGTTAATCTTAACAAGATTGTTAAAGGTTATTTTGGGACCTACACTTCTAGTGCAATTTCATCGTTCTAATAATTTACTCTTAAGTGACCAATAACTTGATGACTTTAAAATATGAATACTGTAACTGTCATAGGAACCTATTTAATTATGTATTGCCTTCTGTGTATTCATAAATTGAAATGTGGATAAAATAATCGAATAAATACGAATTTCGTTGGTTTAGGGCCTGTTAATATTGGACGTACGACTGGGTATCCAAATTATCAAACAACGGGATCACCGCTTTGTTCAAAACCAAACCCAGGTAAAATTCGAACCTCTCTCTCTCTCTCTCTCTCAAACACACTATCATCCGTACGCATCCCCTCTCTCCCGTTCCTTCTTTCAAACACACTATTATCCTCTCATTTCCTCTCTCTTTCTTTCTGTCTCTCCTAACACCAGTACATTAATTATAAAGATAAGAAATGTACATTCTATGGTAAACTGCACAAAAAAAAAAAAGAAATTCACCTGGTTACAGAACATGGATTTTCTCGCAGAACGGAGCATACCCTGGGGCAGGGAGAGTGAATTAAAAAAATTGCAGATGACAATCATCCAACTGATGCGAACAGTTCACGGTAACCAACCTACATTTTGATTCCCTGTTTTCAGATACCACCAATGTTCCTGTGCGTCTTGTTGCCGGCCCTCATCCACTGGAAGGTCGCCTAGAGGTGTTTTACTGCGGCCAGTGGGGGACGGTCTGTGATGACTCCTTTGACTACAGAAGTGCACGTGTTGTCTGTAAGATGCTTGGACATGAGTAAGTGAACCACGATTTCTGCTTTTTTTTAATTGATTCGGATTCTGTTTCAGAACTTTCATGGAACATATCTTATTATTTTAGAGCTTAGCATTCGAAGTATGTATTTCTGTCAGATATGTTATACGAAATAAGTATGCCTATTCATACTTAGAAGATTTTTTAATTGGTTGGTGTTGTTTGTTGGCGACTTGTAATCAAAGCTCAGATTTTATGTGAAATATATAAAGGTATCACGATAAGTGTAATAGAAATGCCTCAAAACCAGCACGTACAGCTTGAACTGATTATATGAATTTTATCTTGTAGCTTTTTCATTAAAAAATAAAAAAAAAAATAAGGTAGAAATAAAATTGACATCTGTTTCTTACTTTTCACAGCACAAATAATGCAACAGCCTACCATGGTGCACGGTACGGCCGTGGATACGGCCCTATATGGCTTGATGACGTCAGCTGCCGTGGTGATGAGAAAAACCTAGCAACATGTAAACATCTTGCCTGGGGGGTCAACAACTGCGGTCACGGGGAGGACGTGAGCGTGTCTTGCAATGGGACATCCGGGCCTCTTGAAGCCAGTAAGTTGTTAATGCAGGACATTTTACTTGTTAATGAAGTTTTTTTCTCAGTGATTTGAAAACATGAAATAAAGTTGAGTTCAAACCTGAGATAACTACGTGAAATATAGTTGATAATAAAATAATAATAATTATACCTAACGTACATTGTACCCTTTAAACTGTGTGAACTGTGGATATATATATATAATGTCGCCTTAATTCAGTACAAAACATTCTTTATATATTTCTAAAACAATAATGTACCGACGTGTTGTACCATCGGTTGTTATAAACAATAAATTTCTAAGTATCTTGCATTACTTTCCTTTTCCGATCTAAATTACGAATTTTAACTCTATTTACCTGCAAAATATCGTTTTTTCTAATAAATCAAATGTCTACAAAATTTCCGGTATATTTCCGATAATGTTTCCAAGTGCGTGTATTTACAACAGCACTTAACCATCTTTAGCCACCATGGGGTACTACAATGGCTGCTGGAGCAGTCCGTGTAGGAATGGCGGCACATGCTACGACACCGGGTACGGAAGGTACCGATGCTCCTGTCCTGCTTACGTCAGTGGCTGGAACTGCCAGTACACAAACGGAGGTATGTATAATCTCTATTACCTCTATACTTTAGGGTGGTCTGGTTTGAATATACTGTATGTCTCACCTGATTTCTTTACTTTGCTATGTGTGGCGATTTTTTATGACGTTGGGGGAATAGTTTGTACAAGGCATTTCCTCGAGAATGGAGGGTCCTGAAGTTAACCTTTGGTTAAATATCTGTATTATACAACAATGCCTTAGTTTTCCATGCAAAGAAAAGTAGTATAACCGCCATGTGAACAGATCAGACGTAGAAAAAAGTATTATTCAAACAACTCGTTATTGTTCACATACGAGAGGGTATTACATGTATATATCGTCAATCTGTTGGACAGAAGTTGACCTTCAGTTGCTCTCGTCGACTAGGTAGATATACAAATAAATGTGCATGTTTACTTAGGAAGTTCATCCATTTCCGTACCTTGAAAATGTATATAAACGTACATATAAGTTAATGTGAAACTCAGGAAAATCAACAGATTTATGACACCTGGCATAATGATTTTATTAAATAAACATCTCTCTTGTTTTAAAGAAATACTTAAAGAAGTAATGGTACTAATATACCAAAACACTCTTGCAAAAATAATGGACTTTTTCGGAAATTAGAGATATTGCTTTTATATAGCTGACTGTACCATTTATCGATAAACAATTTTCACGTCATGAAAGTGGACGCAATTCTATATGTAATGCAAAATATATTATTAGATTTGGTTACCCCTTGTGGACTTACCTTAAAACTGATTTTGAGTGCTTTTTATATAAATTGGTTCGATCACGTCTGTTGGTTCTGAAGTTTGCCAAGTATATTCTTCTCAGTAGGTCCAAAACTATATCATTTTATTCTTAATCAGGTTACTATTATACCACAGCGGGTTACGGGCCACATAGTAATGCATCCAGTTGGGACAATGGTAAGTGGCACAGTATGTTAATTTTGCTTTTAAAAAACCTTGTGATAAACTTTGTGATGTTTGATGATTTCAAACTCGTAATCTGTATTGTTAAATACAGGGAAAACATGACACGATGTCATTATTGTTTACTTTACTTAAAATAATGTGCTACCTGTACATTTTAATCAAGATGGCATCCCAAGAACTACCATCACGTTCGCTGTATTGAGCAAAAACGTGCATTAGCATGGTGGTTGGATTATAAATGATAATTATTTAGCAAAAGCTGAAAATATCTATTTATATATTTATAATTGTTATCTATAAATCACTGTATTGTTTTCATTACTAATGATTACTTGTACTTTTAAGATAAAGATTTAAATACGAAGGAAAACGTCGTGTGTACGATTTTTAACAAGGAAAAAAAGATAAATACAATCAGAGATAGAGACTGAAAATTTCATTAAAAATGAAAAGAACGCAAGTTAAGCAATGAGTGTATTAAGTAAAAAGATTGTTCGCTTTGCTGTCAGCTGAGCCTCGCCATTTTCTTATCCGTTCTATTTTATAGACACGTGCACATTTGAGCAGGGCCTGTGCGGCTTTACCCAGGATTCTTCTGACTCTTTTGATTGGAGAAGATATAGCGGTAGAACTTCCTCTTATAACACTGGGCCGTCGTATGATCACACCACTGGCAGCGGAGGTAGGCTGGTGTACGCAGGGGCTTATTGTGTTATTGTGGCTTTATTGTTTATTATTTGAATGTTGCTGTTAGTAGAAACCTACCATTGCAAAAGTAATAAATGAGAAAAATGTATACAGTATATAGGGTCAAGACGTGTTCCAAATGTCAATGGTAAATGCTATATATAAAATGCTTATTTTGCGCATTACACATGGAAGAAAAGGTAAAGCGGGGGCACCAGAGTGAAATCTGCTTCAGTTATCACCAGATAGCTAAATAGCTGTGCTGGTTTTCGTTATAGGATATTACATGTACATCGAAGCATCCAATACCTACAGCGGAGCACGTGCCAGGCTGGTCAGCCCTACCTACCAGCCCTCCTCGGGCGTGGTGTGCCTCAACTTCTGGTAGATGCAAAATGTCTCTTTTTAAGGAAAAAAACGCATATCTCATAGAAATGTTTACAGTATATCAAAAAACTGTTCATTTTGGCAAAAAAAATCCCTGGGGGTAAACGACAAAATTTCTATACCTACCCATGGCTATATAATCCGTTTCAATATTCAAAGTTAGTCAATTTTCTTTTTTTGTTTGTTTTTTGGGTTTTTTTCTATAATTTTAATTTTTATTTATTTATTTATTTTTTGCAATAACCTCTTAAACTTACACCTTATGGGTTTAAAAAAATCCCCAAATGCTTATTTTTGCCATCCACAGCTTCTTATAAAACCTTACATGCACTTCAAAAACAGTTTTACCCCTTACATATTTTTTCTGGAGCCTGCCTGATGTTTTATGTTTTCATCGAAGTTTAGGAAGTTGGTTGCCAGTAATAGTGATTGGCCGTCATTTGAAACTAAATCAACCTTTACAATTTCATTCAAGAGGAATAGATAAATGATTTGTGCTTGCAAGAAAATCCATTTTGGGGAAAATCCATTTTTGCGGCTGGGAACATGAAAATCTCAGGGAGTTGCCCTTTAAGAAATTATTACGTAGATTTAGCCATCTATGGAGGTCACGTGATCTGATTCCAGGATAATCGCGGAGAGCCGTTTTAGTGGTAAAATAGAATTAATTGTATTTTATTAGTTGTTTACAATGTACTTGTGAAATATGAAGCCATACAAAGAGTTGTTATCCCTTTAGCATATTTTCGTCGTAATTTCATTTTGGAAAACGTTTAAGAAAGATTTGTACAAATTTGTCTAAACTTTAGGAATATTGCCTCGCGTGACAGTGTAATTCATTGATTATTTCTTAGCACGTGATTGTTTCTACTTTTTACTTTGAGTTTTTTATCTTTTTGGTGTCTTTTTATCAGGTACCATATGTATGGGCAAACTATTGGAGCCCTCGCTGTGAAAGTCAAACGATCGGGAAGTTCCAGTGAGGAGACAATATGGATGTTACGGGGAAACCAATATAACGGGTAAACGGAAAATGAGATTGTCCGGAAAAAGCTAAAATATATTGTGAATGTTTAAATGGTAATAACAAATGCTAAGTGGTGAGCTACATGTTAGATACATGACCCACGTTTGAGAAGTGGAATTATATTCGGTGATTGCAAGTGACACTTTATGAAAAACAGAGAAAAACAAAATGTTAAAAAATACAGAATTCAGTTTTTTTTTATATTTCCCTTCCTTTTCATGACTAAAACGTTAATTATTTTTCTCGTGTGACACCTTTGTGACTGCATAACGTTTTTTTTTTTTTTTTTTTTTTTTTTTTTTTTTCAATTAAAGCAAAAGATTTATCAATGTATCGAATTGAATAGACTTCGTAATATACGTTTAATTATCATAAACGACGCCATTTAGATGGAACGAGGCAAGCGTTCGGTTGAAAAGCCAGGGGCCATTTAATGTGATCTTCGAAGCCACAAGGGGCTCGTCATTTACGGGTGACATAGCCATAGATGATGTGACAATTTCTCGTTGTGGTAAGTCAAACCATTTACCATATTTATACCATATATTTATATTTAAACCATATATATACAGCATTGGTCAAAAAGGTTGTCCCACCCCCATCTCCATGTACTTTTATTTACAAATGATCACCTCACAGCTGTAAATTGTTAGAAATAGTGCTTTTTATTACAGATACCGTGTCTAACATGATTAATGGTTTAAAAAAAAACAAAATAGTCGCGAAAATATACATATTTTATACCATTTAGTCAAATTTATAAGAGGTACCCCCTCAAATCCACTGTTTCACTGTGACTTCTGCAGATGTAAAGAAATGTCTATAAAATTGAAAAGACGCCATCAAATGTCCCTAAATTCACAGACAATTAGCATTAGGGTGTGCTCATCTGCCTAACAGCGTGTGTGTCTACCGCGTACTGCAATTATCTCCTGTAGACGGCGCGACAAGCCTTCATTAATCAATCATTAATCATTAATCATGTTAGACACGGTATCTGTAATAAAAAGCACTATTTCTAACAATTTACAGCTGTGAGGTGATCATTTGTAATTAAAAGTACATGGAAATGGGGGTGGGACAACCTTTTTGACCAATGCTGTATGTTGATTTTCCCTTTTCTTTTTTTCTTCATTCCTCTTTGCCATTTTTTTTTCCTCCTTTTTCGCTGATTTGTATCTTTTGGCGCATAGATTTATTGTTCACGCACACGGTAAGTCAAAATCGGAATCCCTTAACAACAAAAATCCCCCCCTGAACTGTTTAATCATTTCAAACAAGATGCGTATGTTTCAGAGGAAACCAAGGAACCGTGGGTCCGTCTTGTAGAGGGGCGCCACCCTGCGGAGGGTAGAGTTGAGGTGTATTACCAGGGCCAGTGGGGGACAGTGTGTGACGACAACTTTGGCTACAGTGATGCGCGCGCAATTTGTGGCATGATGGGATATAGGTTTGTAACCCTAAATAACCAACTTTGTTCCTTGAACGTGTTCATCTACGTGTATAAATTATCGATATGGCTAAATAAAAAGATGTAATTTTTTTTAAACAGGCTATATAAATAAAATCGCTTTAGCTCAAAGAAGTCATGGCCATATTCAGGTATCTATATTTGGTTTCAGAGAGTCGGAGGTCCAGGCCTACCAAAACGCCAGGTTTGGTCCAGGATCTGGCCCTATCTGGCTGGACGACCTGAACTGCACCGGTCACGAGAACAGCTTGGTCCACTGTCCGGGGGCTGAATGGGGTCGCCATAATTGCGGTCATCACGAGGACGGCAGCGTCTCTTGTGACGTGAACGCAAGTGCCAATGCGACATCTTCCGGCAGATGGAACACCACGGATAGTCCTTACTGGCACCGGACTTCTCAGAGATGGCCGTACTGGGGGATGACCACCCAGAGACCCAGCTACTACTGCCCCAACGGTTACTATTAAGTCCCTCTTTAATAACCCATTCAGAATAGGGGAAGTAGTCAGAGGGTCAAATATGGCCGACCCACTTGAATACTTCCTCACGGGATATCTATTGAGTGTGTATTAGCGGATTAGGCGGCAAGCTTTGTAGTAGGTCGCCATATTTGACCTATTAGTTCGTTCTCTATTCTGAATGGGACCTAAGAGGCCATTCAGAAAAGAAGACCCGAGGATTCTCTGATCCACGGATCAAATATGGTGGGCCCTACATGAACGAATAGCCGACTAATCCGCTGATAGTCTCTCCGCTTCCACACGCGCCGTCCTTGCAGGGGTCTAGTGATTAGACCTCGGAGTTGTGATTTAATCCGTGTAATAGCGCGTGTGGATCAGAAAATCCTCAGATCTTCTATTCTGAATGGATTGTTAGATGTTCTTTAGCTTAAATCTGATACATTGTGCCTTACTTCATTTTGATAATTAACCAGTAAGCATAAACGTTAAGACTCAATATGAATAACATTTTAAGGTAAAAGTTACGCCTTTTCCCTTAAACTTATGGGTTATTTCTCCTCGTAGTTCAGTAACTGGACATATCAAGTGATTTCATAAGGTATTTAAGGTATTTTTCATGAATATAGGTTTAAAGCAATTGCAAATATTCTGCTGTTGCAACATTTTCATAAAAAATCATGTAAATTCATGGTGTATGAAGTACAAACGATTCCAACATCTCTTTTTAATTACCACTAATTTTTTGAGGTCCTTAATGTAACTCTCCACACATTCTCACTCAGATCCCTGCTCAAGTTCCCCGTGTTACAATGGAGGCACGTGTTGGTCCACCAGGAACACCTACTATAACAGGTACAGGTTCTACTGCCAGTGCCCCACTGGGACATCAGGGAAATACTGTGAGAGCTACATAGGTGATTGGCGTCTCCCTCTCGTCCTTCTCTCTCTCTCTCTCTCTCTCTCTCTCTCTCTCTCTCTGCTTGGGTATTTTGATATTTGACAAAGCCTCTTCCATTTTGGTTCATGAATATAAATAACGATTCTTGGTAAACCCACCATAACCGTAAGCCCAGGTCAATGTATGGACGCATTCATGTTTAAAAGATGTGCCAATGACCCAATTTCAGTTCTGATCAACTTTATTCCAGGGTGGCCACAATATGCTACAACACAGAGCTGGTATCAAGGTTGGTCTGTTTTAACTCAAGTTTTACATATTATTATCCATCTTTCATTATGTCTGGCCCGTGTTAATTTTAACGTTAAGCGGAGAGACCTGTTTTCTCTTCACTGTGGTGGTAACTTAAGCATACGTTCATCCCAAGTTTCTGTTCCATGTAAAATTAAAGGCCACGAGATGAGTTGTGTCTTAGACAAACGGTTGTTTATTGAACGAAATTCATGCCAAAGTATTTATTTCAATATCATTAATTATTTGAAAGAGAGGAATTGTTTAGTAATGGATATTGGTGGTTACCAGTGCACAGTGCAATCTGTAATATTTGTAGCACTAAGGTAAAATATTTTATGAAGTTTTTTCTTAATATTTATTGATTATTACTCAGTTCAGTAATAAACATTTGTATATATATGTTTAGGCATTCGCCTTGTCGGGGGTAAAACACCTTACGAGGGACGCGTAGAAGTTTACCATAATGGAGAATGGGGTACAATCTGTGACGACAACTTTGATGTTAACGACGCTCGTGTTATTTGCAGAATGCTAGGTTACGGGTAAGTGGTGAGACCAACTAAAAAAATTCTATATCCTGCCTCATTAACAGAAGGGTGGACCCGCACTTTGCAACCGAACGCATTTTACAACCGCATTTTGTCACTGACGTGTTTATCGATCCAGGAGGTTTCATGTTCCAAACGCCGATGGTGTGTAGAAAGACAGCAGAAAGAACGATGTACAATATAGAATCACCACCCCCAGGGACGACCACATTCCCAAGTTGAAAAAACGTACTTAAGTCCACGTACGCATTGTTAATGATAGGTTAATCAACCCTCGACGTTTGGACTTCTTAACTCTAGTGGTTTAATGGTACTTGTAGATGTTTCAATATGCTGCAAATTTCTGTTGAAATAGGTATAACATGTCGTACATGTATTCCTGATCTACCCTGAAGTGCCATATCCAACTTGATCGTTCGTTAAAAGATGCCGTATTTTAAAGAAATATTTGTGCTTTGCCTTTTGTTTCTGTTACAGTTTAGTAGTCATACATGAAGGTTTAACGGTGACCTCTGACCTCTTTTTATTTATTTTGCAGAACGTCTAGCGTAGCCGCCTACCAAGGTGGTCGTTTTGGACAGGGCTACGGTAGAATATGGCTGGATGATCTCCGCTGCAGAGGATATGAACATGACGTCACTTCCTGTAGTCACGCGGGTTGGGGACGTCATAACTGCGGTCACCAGGAAGACGCCAGTGTCTCGTGCAGTGCAGGCGGCACTTTGACCACAAGGAAACCATGGGGCTATGAAATGAGTAAGGGTTTACTCAATGCACATTGTTCATTTTCAAATGTATATAATCTAGCAATGAAAGGTTGTACGTTTATTTCAAGCTTCGGGAACGTTGCATTTCTGGGCTAGGCCTAATTACTCTACTTAGCGCGTGCCTGTTTTAGCCATCAAAACGTTCACTGTAAGACAAGTTTTTATGTGAAAGGTTTTTGCACAATAATAGTACATGCAGCAGTGGACTTGCTCAAGTAACGGATGATGTATGTCATTTCATATGTTTTTTACTGTCACCATAGCAACCCAACAGGCGTCATGCCGGTACAGTCCTTGTCGTAATGGAGGTACTTGTGTGGATTACGGCAATGGATTCTACCATTGCTACTGCCCACCAAAAACGTCAGGAAGGAACTGTGAATACATAGGTAATATGAAACGATCGTCATGGTAACTTCTATGCCCGGTGTGCACAGGGTTATGGATTCCCTGAAACAGATATTTATTTGAAACTCAACCGATTAGAATTCTTTATGAAAGAGTCTTGTAAATTTTTATCAAAGGGAAACACATTTAACCATAAAATATTTTGTCAAAAGTGTTGCCGTTGGTAGATAGCTAGTTTTCCATATATAAACATATCCATTCTGGCTTATAAAACGCATGCATTAGTCACTTACATTTATTTTAAACGAACAAATCAACGTAAAATATGAATGCATATGAAAACGAATGCTCTGTTTACGTAAATGAAGACTTATTATATTCGTTGCTAGGAGAGTGTACAGTGAACCCGTGTATGAATGGAGGGACGTGCAGGAACGTCAACTATCCCCCGTACTACTACTGTATGTGCCCGAGATATTACTCGGGACAGAAGTGCGAATCATATTCAGGTGTGGCTAAATGAAATAGATTATTTACTGTCTGGTCTGTAAAACAGTAAATCGTTTCTAGAGAGAGAAAATGTTTTAAACGATGACGTCATTTGATAATAGATCTCATGCACATGGCTAAAATTACGTTTAATGGTCGCTTTAGAAACAACCAACCTTTTGCCATCATTATTCATCATTAGTCTTGTAATTAAAATTCTTACTTGTCTTAAGATAGTCTTCTGTCATTCAATCACGGTCAATATGTTTGTGTTTGTTTTTGTGATTTGTCAGCGATTTTTATGCGGTGTTTTACTACACGTGTGTGCGCTTGTTCTTTCGGAAAATTATGTCTAAATGATATACTTCCATGTTCTTATTAAAGTAAAACAAGACACTCTTCGTAACAATCACTCGTGTTTCTTTTCTCATCATATTAGACCCATGTCGCTACTTGACCTGTTACAATGGTGGCAGCTGCGTTCGTCGGTGGGATAGTTTTGCCACGTGCCAGTGTTATGGGCCATACACCGGAAGACAGTGTGAATACAGAATGGAGGGGGGCTTCACCGCTGAAAGAGGTAAGCTTATGAAATGACCATGTCCTCACCTGTCAGAAATGAGGCATGTGTCCGACAAAGCGAATTAAAGTCGCCGTACAAACTGTCAAGTGTCGCCAGAAGTTTTGTAAACAAAATTCCGTTAAGCACAAAGAATATTTCAAATTTTCAAAATGGATTTGAAGAGCATGCTTTTATCAATAGTGTAACTGTAGGCAAAAAATGTTTTTGTTACATTAAATGTTACGTTGAATGTATACTTCAGAAGTTCTGCAAAATAATAAAATAGCCTTACACAGGGAGGGCGCTTATCCATATAATTCTTGTTTAGAAAAGATATCGCTTTATTTATATTCAAAACAACAGCAAATATTGGTGTCATTATCTTCCATGTACTTTACCAACCATTCTAAATGGTATTATTTCACAGGCAAAGGCGTCACATATTCCTGGGAGTAAGGACTGCACTGACCCCGGAACTGACCTCGCAACACCCACCAGGACACGATGGCGAAGAACTGGACCGATTAATTGGACTTAGAGCAAACTAATCTTGTATGGAACTGCAGAGTGGATAATCCTTGTAGCTAGACTGGGGAGATCCCTAACCTGCCTCTATCTTTATAGATTCCTTTACATGTAGCACTCGGCGACACTATGGCGGATTCATTTTGCTTTTAAGTGAAATAAAAAGCTGTTTTATTAAATCTAATGAAACACAATCATAGAAATGCCCGATAAAATTGCTTAAATGGCTTATAAGGGGAATATTGGGGATAATAATGTAATTTGCTGTGAAGGGACAGATTTTATTGGTCAGTCTTAGGGATGATAACATGCTTTTCTCAAAAGACTTTTCAAACCGAAATTTAACAGACTTCGTATGATTACTGTGTGATGTGGCTTCATTTTGTGGGCTTTTATAAATAAATGCATTTCATTTTAAAATATTTCATTTAGAACCGTTTTGATTTAAAAAGGAAAGGTAAAACCTGAAAGCCGCGCTTTACCAAACAGCACATTAGACAGGCATGCGAAGACGAATGCAAACACAAAATGGTTCCAATGCGTTTTTTCTTAAATAACTCTATGCATACCAGTGATATATTTGTGTACCTTTTTTCTGTTGCAATATGTTAAGGACGTTGATACCGTCTCCATTTATTGTTGCGTATTCTCTCTCTCTCTCCCCCTGCCCTTTGCTCAACAATATTCGTTTACTTTACTAAAAACACACTGGTGCTCAACATTTGTTTCCTGTAGAAACACAGAGAAAGGTCTAATTTTAAATAAATCCATCTCCCCTTATAGCAATGTTAATATTCAAAGACTCATAGAACAGTCTCAGAACTAAGTTCCGAACACGCGATATTCGAGCCACGCCACGCCGAGCCACCGAGCCCCAGTTCCGAACATTACCGAGGAACGGAACAAGCCGAGGAGTTCCGAATGCCATCGTCTTTTTCCGTCTGTCTACTTTTCGTTCACTGCCTATTCTTCCGGCTGCGGTGTCCGTTTGTACTCTGGCCTGCAGACTAAATACGCAACACTTATTCCTGCAGCCACCATAACCAAGCAAATGAGGTTCACCAGGATTGTCTCTACGCCCATTTTGCTGTAGTCTTTCCTGAAAACGTGCAACACAATACAATGGGAAATAATGCCATGACTTGAACTTTTTTGAAACAATATAATTGACGTCAAGTAGTCCGACCATCTCCAGCCCAGCAGTCACCCAGACATTATACTTAACGTATGTTTCACAAAATATACTGCAAGGTGGGAAACTATATTTTAAGATGTGACTGATGACGTGTTTTAACTTCCTTAGATCAACATTTCTGTGTTTAGCTTTTACGTACATGTATCATGTATTTTCCTTCCTTTCACATTTATATTATTTATGGACATTATAGAACTACTACAAAATATTTGCAAAAGTCAATTTTTCAATGTAGTCCTACTCCAGCTTCTGGTACCTGTAGCCCTACAAATTGTGATTAATAGAGCTTTCACCAAACGTACATTTTGGCTTCCGAGACCCCGAACAACAAAGCAGCATATACAAGCCATTACAACACCTAGTGTAGATAGCCGTCAATTACTTACATACTAAATATAATTTTCTCTACCATTCCCATAAGTGAGGCGGCTATAGCTAACCCATAAACGGCAACGCCCCAATACCGATGTAGAGGCATCAACATCTCGCGGGCATTTTGGCCCAACTTGGGATACATAAAAGCCACGAAGCCAAATATATACTGAAAATAAAGAGTGATATATTGGTTTTCGCTGCCTCATGTTAGAAGATGGCATAAATGATGGCATAAATGAAATATCTCTTTTAACGTGACTGAAAGAGATTTTTACTCCAGTGAAAACTTCGTCTTTCGTTCATGGACGCAATATAGCATTTAAATACTTAAAATGTTAAACGAGTATTGATTTCAAAAGGAATTATTATTTGACTACACCCACTCATCCACCAGCAATCTTACCTCCAGTAAGCACTACCCCCCCCCCCCCCCCCCTCCACTTACGACTACCAGCAGAACAATGATAATAGTATTGATAACAAAGGGATTTAACGCTGGGGCCATCGAAATTGCTACTTCTTAAGTGTGTAAAGTTATTTCAAACGTCAGAGAGAGAGAGAAAGAGAGAGAGAGAGAGACCACGGTATTTACCTGCAACCCAAACAGTATAATGGTCGCTAGCCCTAGCCAGCTGTGAATACTGTACATGTTGGCAATCTTGACTTGGACCAGATTGCGGGAGTCAAATACTGTCTTAAGTCCTAGTACGATGAAGACGACGGCGATGGCCTCTATGAAGGCGTGGACCACTTTAACGTAGATCTTCTTTTGATTTCGGAACACCCTGTACACCAGAATACCTGGGATAGAGGGTTGATACAGACAGGATCAGTTTTGTTAAATTAATGATATTATTCAGGTTGATTTTCAGTGCGCTGTTGCACGACTGAATACCCGGGCCGTCTTCTTCTTCAAATGTAAGGAGTGGTGCAGGCCTCGCCGATTATGGTCCACCAATTTACTTTATTTTCAGTCCATTCAATGATTGATCATGAATGAGCTCTCTGTTGGACAGTCATGATTTATTGCAAAGGCATTAAGACTGCCAATTTATAGTGAACTAGTATCTTGTAAACTTGCAATTGTTTCCCATACAACGGCGGGGGTGTTATGGCAAAGCAATCGTTTTAAAACCTCATGATCATTCAGTGATAATGAGAGTCCAAATTACCGTTACAAAATAGCTGCGTGAATTATTAATGAATAATTATTCAAATGATTTCAGCAGTAGGTAATTAAAAGGTTTTTAATTCTTATATGTTTAGACAGCATAAATGTACACAAGACGTCTAATTGTACCACCGATGGCATGGTTCAGGGATTTTACGATCTCAAAACGGATATTTCTCGAACATAATTGTACTGCACCTGTTGGTTGCCATTTTGGATTTCCTCTAATTCGAGGAGATTTTATTCCGACCAAAGGGCTAAATGTGTCTCAAAACTGACAAAAATGGCGACTTACCCTCTCCATACAGAAATATCAGCCCTATCACCGAGAAGATGGAGTGGAAGTTCATCTCTAACCGGGGATTTTCCGTCCACGCGAACCCCTTTTGGAATATGTAAAGCCACAACCCCAGCATAACTACGAGTGCCACTCCCAGAACTTGAGACAAGGTGAAGACGAGCCAGAAACAGATGAACGAGGACGCTGGCGGCCGGGAATTGAGTTCTGGGCTGTAGTCCATTCTGACGGATGTGGGTCCGAGAATGATTTCTCTGAAATGATGCAGGTAAACAAGGCTTGAGGTGGTTGTAATTTAGTTAATTGTCCATCGAGAAATATAGAAACTATTAATAAAAATATATAGAGGGGTAAAATATTCTTATTTCTCAGCTCAGGCGTTCTTTTTACATGTATGTTCAATGTCTACAGACCTCCTGATTACGAGAAGCTCACCATAACAATTAAGAAGCCAAGGTAATCTCTCCATTGTATCACCCGCCGCCTAGAATGGCATATATCACAAAAAAACATGTACCAATTATATGTGTACAAGTTCTTTTCTGATATACTGTCATCAATCTATTTTTCAACAGACTCATTCAGAACCAAGAAAAAAGACGCGCAAAAATAAACGGGCTTCCTGAGGTTAAGCATCGCGATCAAGTGACCTGCCTAAAAAGGATATACTAAATTATATATACCTAACATGACTAGGAACATACCTCCCCCCCCCCACACACACACACACACACACCAACTCGGTCCTTAAACAATACCAACGCATGCACCATTGGCCCAGTAAGCATGAGAAGAGGACAGTTAATCTAATGATGAACCGCCTGTGAGTGATGACCTAACACAAATACTTACACCATTACCCCGTTTATGTCTCCTTGATCTAAGCCGATTTAAGTAATAAGACATATGGTGTTCGAAATTTGGCCGATGACGGCCACATTTATTGAAGGTCCTATTAATAAAATGAAATGAATCGGATTAGTGATAAACATCGAATAGTAGAGCTGACTGCATCAGATGCAGGGAAATTGCTGACCACGTGCATTTTATTCATTTAAAAATATATATTTCAACATTGACTCAAAAGCCATCCACTATAATCAATCTATTTTTTCAGCATGTTTCACCCAGCTTACCCTCATATATATGCTGGTACTTTAAAACGCCACGTGGGTAGCCGATGCTAATGCAGACAGAAGGCGTGTTTACACTGAAGATAGCTCTGCCCTGCTCGGTTCAACGATTCTCCGCGTGCAGCTCCCTCGTTTCATAATTTGCACAGATGTATGTATTGCGTACGGTGTATCTGAATTCCAAGTTTACAATTACTGTCAATAGCTATTGTTCATGGCCGTGCATATGAATGAATTAAATTGATTAATAGAGCTACCTGATGCTGACCCTCAAAGTTGGCCGCGAGTGAAATCTGGGGCCATGTCCATTACTATGCGTAGTGGCACATAAATTTACCGGGACGAAACACAGGGATGGTTGTTCTTAATCTTGCCTTCAAAGAGAAAACAATGGTAGCCGCCGTGAGACTCGACATTACATTAAAAACGAAATATTGGCTATATGTTCTCATGTGCATTAACCGTATTCGTTGTTTTTGTGTTATTTTTGTTGTTACGTCTCTCTTTTAATGTGTGTGTGTGTGTGTGTGTGTGTGTGTGTGCGCGTACCAAAACTCTTCAAATTATTTTATGGGTCATGCAGAATGATTTAACCGTTCACTTCAGCCTTAAAAACTAAAAAAAAATAATTATAAACCTAAAATAAAAAGTAACTGGCGTAGATTGTTCCGAAATGAAATTTTCAAAATGGCCCCGATCTTATGAGCACGTATTCCGCTTAGAATATGCTTTGTATTTTGATTTTAAAACATAAATATTGGAAAATACAACATTAAACACATATAAAAATTATCAGGGAAGAGTACAGTTAACCTCATAGAGTTGGGAAAGCTTCCTGCGATCCTGAATCGTCTCTTATGCGTTACTCGCTATAAAGTGGGAAAAGGACATAGCTAATTTAATTATTCTCATTTAACATTCATGTGACCGAGTCATAACGTCATCAATGGGAATTTCCACTATGCACGCTAAGTCCCTGGGCCGTATCCGAATGGGGAAACGAAAGTTCTACACGCTAGCTGTGGTACCGGTTTCGTTGTCGCGCGTGTCTGAATGATCGAAACAGGATTGGGTCATACATGCAACACCTGTGAGCACACGATAAGAAGGCAAGATTTCCTTACACTTTGTTTTTTATAAAAAGCTGAGTGAATTCCATGTATTTATATCCCGAAGTTGAACGATTTGTTGTGTTTACGTGTATGGGGAATCATACACTGTACTGAAGTTGCAAACGGAAACGATGGTAACTCACAATAACCCATTTTCTTCACTCAACAGAATTTGAGATAAAAAACAATTTATGTATTTCTCTTGTGCATCTGCAGTAAATGATCCCTGAGATTTCCAAAAAACAAAGAAACATAACAATACTATTCTGAGCGCATTCCTTGCCATAATGTACATCTGCAAAACAAACTGGTTTGTCTGTTTCCCAGATTAAAGCGCTGTTTTAGAATCGTTTTTGGCTAAGAATTTAAAAAAAATTAAAATACAGAGCAATGTTTGGAAAAACAAAATTGTTTGTAATAATAAAACAAATCCATCCCCTTTCACATGAAGCACCCCCATTGCAATCCAACACATAGCAATATTTGAAAGACTCCCAACCATCAACACACAAAAATGCTGAACTTTACCTGCCGCCCTTGGCGCCACTAATGAAAGGTTGATTTCTCATTGCATCTCTTATAATCCGATAGCGGGGGTGGCGTTAATCAGGGGCGTCACGTGAGGAGCCGACCCATCCCGGTGTAACGAAACTGAAGGCCCGTGTAATACAAAGTCTGCCCTCCATTTAGTTATAATGGTTTGGGTTGGCCTGACCTTAGCGGGTCAGAATCCAGTATACAGCTTACCTGTACATCGGTGACTCTCTGGACCATCAAGAGGAGCTGCTTTGTTTTTCTGATCCCTACCCTCACGTACGACGGGCATATCGTGGGTTGCTTATACTGCAAGGCCCAGCTCCATAAATAAATAAAAAATAAATAAATAAATAAATAAATAAATAAAAGTAGCTGTACGTTGAATATATCTATATGACAGAAAACTGTTGTCTAACTATGGGTGCAACTGGATAGACCATCGATCTAACTCTGCGGGGGATTCTCCCTAAGTGCAATCACTGTACTCGGCTTAAATATCTGACATGCCTTCTTGAGTTGGGTAATTAACTAATTAACTAACTACAGAAGGAGGCGTGTCAGAAAAATTAAGCTGATTACACTGAATGTACTTTATCAAGAATCCCCAGCAGAGTAACGTTGATCCAGTTGAAACGATGTTGGAATCTGAACGTGGTCTATGATCCAAACCCAGCTTGTAGTAATTCAATAATAAAGAAAACCTATGGTCTAAAGTAATGTATATTTCCTATAACGAAAAAACATTCCCTCATGACTTCCTCTAGGATCAAAGTTCACTAAATTATCGGTTGTTAAGTTGAGGTCCAATCTAGACTTTAAAAAAGGGTTTCTTTGTGAAGTTTCTTTGGTTGTCAGCCATATGGATTAATTACGTTTTCACGTGGGCAGATATACAGCCAGCCGAGAGACCTCCCACCCTCCCTCTCCATAATGTTTAAACGGAACCATTATATTATTTTCTTACCAAACTTTTTGCTGATATTTCATGTCAGCGGCCTGAATATAAATTACAACACTGCAGGGTTGGCAAGTTTATAATCATCTTTAAATTGAAGTTAATCACGAGAGAAGGGATTAAAATTTGAAGCAAGTCTCCTCGAACCAATACGTACAAATAACAGATTGTCCACCAGGGAAAGTTTGGTAAGAAAATAAATACTAATGGCGATGCAAGAATGACAGATACGTCTCGGACTCGTGTGATACAATTTGGTGTTTGATCATTCCCATGTAATATTATATTGATATACTTATATTACCACATCAAGGGTAGAAGGCTCGGGTCAGCCCTAGGCTTGAACGTTATTTACCCTCAGTTCAATGTATTCATGTTGAGAGCGATATAGGCCGAAATATACATGTCTAATAACTACGTATTTTTTTTAATTAAAATAGATAACCTATATATAACATATATAACATATATAACAATACGAATATATTCTGGTACAGTGCGCCGTCA